TCCCGACCTCGGCATCCCAGCGTGAGCGCTCTGCAGGCAGCACTTTCTAGGGCAGAGGCGGTCTTTGCCGTTGCAGTCGTTACATCAGCAGCGCTCTGCAGGTGCCTGATGTGGTTAAAATGATGACTGACCTGTCCCAAAACCGAATCTGCCAGTCTCAAGGCGTTAGTCATGGGTGTTGTTTGCAGCATCTTTCAGGCGTGACTCAGTTCGAGTGTGCTGTCGCTTCCTTCCCCTTGGAGAAGGGGTTTGGGTTATACCTGACGGCTGCGCTGGTCCCCGGCGTTTTCTGGGCTCCCGGACGCTCGGAGGGAAGTGCTGTGTGCCCTGGGGTTTGCTTTGGAGAGATTATTATGCCCTTATTCCAGGACAAATCTTTTGCTAGGTTAGCTGGTTCCTGGAAATAGCAGTGAAGAGAGGCCCCGTAGCAACTGGCAGAGCGGGGAGAGGATTGAAGCCATTCAAATCCGCAGGCCGTCGGGATCCCCTCTCGCCTCTATGTGGACCAGAGGGGACCATCGGTTGCCGTGGGCCACGCGGTCTTTGGGGCAGGCATCATCCTTTAACGCAAGATGCCGGAACACGCGGGGCAAGGGCGCACGAGCACAGCCCCTCCGGCCTGTGACCGAGCAGAGGGAAGCGTCTCGCCATTACATGGAAAACATCCTGGCTTCCGCTCCAGCAGCGACTGGTGATTCGTTCCTCTGCAGCGGAGCTGTGTCCCCTGTGACGTAAATAGAAACGGGGTGAGCAGATGAGTCAGAGCTTGTTTCCTTGATTGCAAGCTCTTCTCTTCTAGCTTTTGCTTTGATGCTTTGGGTTTCTCAGTCCTAGAAGACGAAGGACTTGTCTTGGCAGTGCTGCCCCTTCCCAGGAAAAGCGGTCCTTCTCTCCTCGGGTGGACTGGGGGCAGAGCAGCCGACCCAAAATTGCAAGCCCCGCTTTCTGAGTGACCCTGCTTGGGATAGCAGAGCTTGTATCGATGCCGTGGCCCGGAGGAGCGAAACTGGAGCTATATCCCTTGCCGGACACCAAATGGACATAAGAAGAAGCCAAGATGGTTCTCATTTGGAGCGTGGCCCGGCTTGTACACACAGATCCCTCAGCTGGTGCGCAGAGCCTTTTGCAGTGGCACAGCCAAGCTGTCGGGCATCACAGCCCTTTGCTGGCCGCTAGTCCCTGAGCTAGCCAGGGATGTATGTCTAATCGCTTTTGTTCTTATCCGAGCTTGGGACCCTGCCCTGGCTCCTCTGCGGAGCTTCCTCAGGGCACCACTGACACCTGCTGGTAAAAGCAAAGCCGCTGAGCACAGATGAGTCCTTGGGAAGGCGGCCGGTGCCAGAAACTCTTCGTCATTCCCCCCTTGCTATCTCGTGGTTGTGAAACTCCCTCCTGGCTGCAGGAAGAAAGCCCAGGACGCGGCCCGTGAACGCTGCAGGCCGACGTGAGTTTAGCCGCCTTCAGCACCACTACCTTTCCTGTGGATGCTCGGTGTGTTGCCTCCTGCCTAGAACCAGTTATCCGCCCCGACCAAAAAAAAAAAAACAGGTTTTTAAGGCAAACTTCACTAGTTCGCTGAAGGTACTTGTCCCAGCAGGGCCTGGACACCGGCAGCTGATCCACGTGCATGGAAATCGCAGCCTTGTAATGTTTGTGCTCCTTAATTAAGAAACATCTTCCAGATACCAGAGGAAGAAGATGGATTGAATCCTTTTAACTGATTTGTTTGATTTGGGGTGAATAAGCATCCCTCAGGGCGCTGCGGCATCCCCAGGAGGAGCTGAGACCGGCCAGCCACACGCCTGCAACGGCCACGACCATCTGGGCATGGTGAGGGTGGATTCCTGATGGCCACGTCTCCACTGGCCGAAAACCCAGGTACAGATGGGGCATATTCATGAGGTGGACGGCAACGGCAGACCCTCCTTTGAGTCTCTAGGCTCTTGGGCCTTGTGGTGTAACCGAATTGCCTTGTCTGGAGGAGACCGTGAACGTCCTGGTGTCCCCATCCGGTCTGTCTGCGTGGGGACCGGCCAAGGAAATGCAGTGCGCTGCCTTCAGCACGGCCTTTTGCAGGGCTGGCTGGCTGGCGCTTGGTCTTGCAGGTCTTTCCCTGTTAACTCATCTTCGTTGGAGCCAACCGAGGCAGCTGCTGATGAACGGCATCAGGAAAGCCTCCAGATGGGGATTTTCAGGGAAGCCTCGGCCAGACACGGCCTAATTTCTCAGCTGTGAGAGAGGATCTCCAGCAAAGAGTGGCAGGGCGCAGCGTTCGCTCTCGGGGCCGAGGGTGTGCGCGCGTGTTTGCCCGTGTTTTTTTCTCAGCCTCGCGTTCAAACAGCACTGTAGTCACGCGGTGATCTCTACCCTGTCAGGTCCCTAGCTGATTGCAAGGAAGCCTGTAGGAAAGAGGTAGATTTTTGGCTCCACACACACCCTGTAGCAATCCAAGCGTGCTGCGGCCCTTCCGGCGCCGCTGGGGCTTTGTGCCCCATCCGATGGAAGCGGCTCGACTCTAAAGCTGTTGTTAGCCCTGTTGGCATATGTTAATTGCAGCTGAAAAGAGATTACTCAGCCTGCCGTCTCTGCACCCGTTACAGCTTTTCAGCATGGAAATAATCAAGCAGTGGAGCTTGAAGGGAAATAAAACACTTGTGAAGTGTGGATGGGGTTATTGGAGAAGCAATTAGATGACAGCATAAGCGGAGAGCAATAAAATGGAAATGAAAACTGATAGGCTTAAAAACTTCCTACCCCTTCCCCCCCCCCCCCCGTTATGAATGTTTTATGTTTGCCTGCATTTGCGAGCTTGTCAGCACTACCCTGTAATTCCTATGGCTTTTATAATTGGGAGTTGCTCCTCGAGAGAGAGAGAGAGGGAATGCGTTCCATGAGCGGTGCCAGATGATTTTTCAACTTTATATATATATATATCCCTTTCTGTAATCACAGTAATTAACCAGTGAGCGCATGCCGATAATATCTTCGCTGATAGACACTACTAACAACCATGGTCTTCCAGCCCGCTTTATTTATCGCTGCCTTTTTGGGGCTTTTGGCGGGAGGGTTTGCATCTGCTCTGTGGATTGGCTCCTGCGTGGTTGCTTTCATCAGTTTTAAATGAAAGATGTATTCGAAAAGGGAAACCTGGCCCGCTCAGCCCAGAAACCTAGGGAAAAGGAGGGATTAGAAAGTAAAAACACAAAAAATGTATGTTAAGAAAACGGCACGTTTCTGGGGTTGGCGCAGGAGGGCAGATCTGATTTCCTGCTGTCTCTCTTTCTCTCAGTGCTGTTTTGCTCCTCAGCCCCCAAAAGCAGGTTCATAATGGAAAAATGAGCCCTCTTCCGGCAAGGAAGGCTGAGAGATGTCTAGCAGCCGCCCGCCCTCCTCTGCCTCTAAAAATTTACTGGTCTAAGTAAAAGGGGTGAGTCTGGAGCCGGGAAGCGATTGCAGCATCTGCAGCCCTCCCATTTTTCGTCTGGGCAGCAGATCCCGCGGTGTGAGATTTCTCAGGGACGGGTCCTTGAATTCGCCCCATTGGAGCTCTGCCAGATCCAACTGCACCATCTGTCCTGCTCCCGCAGCCGAGTACCCTGCGCTGGCTGCAGTTTGAACCGGGTACGTTCGTGCCAGAAGCGCTTATGTTGTAACGGGAACTTCTGGGAGCTGGAGCTGATCTTTTCCCGTTAATCCAGGGTCTGTTTTGGTGCCTTTTGGACCTGGCTGGTGTTTGATTTGTGCAGAGCATCTCTAGGAGCTGCGTGTTTGGGACTCTGCCGACATTCTGGCCATCTCCAGGTGCCTCCTGCTCTCCACCTGCGGACAGTGATGCAGCCCTTTCTGGGGGCTGAGCCTGCGCTCAGCTACAACTGCAGAGATTTTAGGAACAAAACACGAGGTCGGATGAAGCGCTTCCTCCTGTTCAGTCCAGGTTATGCCTTTACCTAAAAGTGCGGGCAGATGAATTCTGGTGATGCGTTTCATGTGGCTGGAGACCTTGCTGCTCTGGGTCTGCCCTGGGGTAGCCGGTGGTCGAACCTCGTGCGCAACATCACTTTACCGGCAACGGGCCCCCGGTCTCAGTTAGCAGGATGCGACTCGGCACAGCACGCAACCGCGAGGCTGCGTGTGAAGGCTGACAGCCTTGGACTGTCAGGCAAGAGAAGAGCAAGAAAACAGCCTTTGCTGTTTGGAAAGCAGGACGTGGGAACTGGTGAAACTCTGGCCTCGGTGAAGTCGGTAGCAAAACGTGATTCAGAGAAGCCAGGGCTTCCCTCCGCAGTGTTTTGACGCTTGCTTTATCACTGACACTGTTTCGAGCCAGCCGGTGCTGCTCAGTTTACATTTTTGCTCTGTTTTCTGTACTAGGTTAACTGAAATAGTTGAAATAGTTGGCAGGTGGCTGTAGTGACGTAGGCGGTCTGTTTTCCGGAGAGACACAGCTCTTACCTCTGCTTTAGACACAAATCCGTGGATGCAGACCAATGCTTGGGGCAATGCATGGGAGCTGTGGGGACCCCCCTCTTTGGTGGGGGGCTGTGGAGGGCAGGCAAAGACCCAGGACTCGCTAGGAATCAGCCTGGCATGGGATTGCCGGGGTTCAGAAACACAGCACTTCATGGGAGGTAGCCTTGCAGAAGGAGAAGGCTGGAAGTAATAACTTCCTACAGTTCAATCAAGCTGTCAAAGCAAAAGGTTTGTCCGAGACCCTCCTGGCTTTGCAGCTGTCTGGAAAACACAGGGGAAGGATTTGCAGAAATCGATGCAGCCTAAAACCCTGTGGCTCAGCTTGCCAGATGGTCTGTGATGCTCTCACCTGGCTCTGTTGGGAGCCGGGTGGCACCTCCGCCCCTTGCTGCTGCGTTACACAATACAGGGGCAATCACGCAGAGGGCTGAGTCGTATCCGTGCAGCAAGATCCCTCTCCCCTACTCATTTCCTTTTTGCTGCTTGGGATTGCTGTCAGAGCCCGCAGTAACCTCTGTGTTTCCTTCTAGGCGACCACGGTGCTCAGCTGGGCCTTCACGGCACGAGCGGAGATGGGCTCGGAGATGAGAATACGGCTGTGGAGGAAGGAGAGACCAGCCCCGATCCACAGCCCCAGCAAGGCCGGAAAGTGCGGAGGGAAGCGTGTACCTGCCCCTACTGCAAAGACAGCGAGGGAAGGTAAGGCTGCTCGGCGGGGGGATCTGGCAATGCCAGGCTGCCTAAGCACCTCCGATCCCCCGTAAGCGGGCTGAAACACAGACTGCACTGTCTAATGTCCCAGTGGCGTGGGCCTGTGTTTCAAAGTGAGCGTGGCTGTCGTCGGCAGGCATCTCCCTGTGCTGCCTCCATCCTCCACCTTGGCCAACTCCAGAGCAGAGCAAATGTTTGGGTAGAGCGTTTTACCGCCTGGAGAAGGGCTGTGTTTGAGGACACACCTCAGGCTGAGCTAAAACCTCGCCTCCTCCCCTTTCCTTGGGTCGTTTGGAGACATCCTGTCAGTGCTGCAGTGAATTGCAGCAAGGTGGCTGGCTAGTGGCTCTCTTGGTTGGCAGACGGGTAGGCACAGATTTTGGCCGCTGTGGCTCAGCGGTGACGGGAGTATGGGAACGCCATGGAGTGAGGTGCCTTGTTCGGAGATGTTCTTCCCCCCTCTGGTTGACTGGAGCACAGAGGTGCTGTCAGGGCTGTTTTAACTCTCTCTCTTGGACTCTTTCAGGAGCTCTGGGGATCCAGGTAAAAAAAAGCAGCACATCTGCCACATCCCTGGCTGTGGGAAGGTGTATGGCAAAACCTCTCACCTCCGGGCTCACCTGCGATGGCACACCGGAGAGAGACCTTTCGTGTGCACCTGGATCCTGTGTGGGAAGCGTTTCACCCGGAGCGATGAGCTGCAGCGGCACAAGCGCACGCACACAGGTAAGGCCTGGGGCTGGCAAGGATTGGGGTACAGAACGGACCACAGTCTGGCTCTGGCCTTTCCAGGCCCATCTCTGGCCTTCCCAGCCCCGTGCCACGGTGCTAGCGGGCACGCTGGGATGTTTTAGCACCACCTGCCGTACAGAGCAGCGATAGATCTGCTCCATCATACCGCACGGTGGAAGTCCTTTCTAGGATTTCCAGCCCCCAGCAAAGGAGATGGCTCTGCCTGACTTTCCTCACCCTTTGCTGTTGCCATATAAAGCCCAGGAGGGTCTAAGTGCGATCGGGTGGCTCTGGTCAGGTCAGGGCAATAAGCTGGGCCTGATGCCATGCGAGAAAGTGATCAGATGGCATTTGGGATAAATTTGGTGCTGGGGAAATCCTTTCTGCTTTTCCGTGGGACTGTTTCCGGCGTCAAGGTGGCAAAACCGCAGTCGAATCCCTCCCTGTCTCTAAATCCAGCAGGATCAGATGCTTTTGAACTCGAAGGGAGGGCAACTCATGGGCAGGATGGGATCGGCAGCTGCCCGATGGCAGAGCTGCTTTATCTGTAACATTGCAAGTCAGCCATACGGTACCGGTAGCTCTTTTTTTCCCTGGGTTTCTTCACCTTATTTCTGGCCTGGGAGAGCATGGTGCTGCCAGGGAACCGGTCCAGCCTCCAGCTGACCCCTCTCTCCCTCTTGACTTCCAGGAGAGAAGAAATTCGCCTGCCCCGAGTGCCCCAAACGCTTCATGCGGAGTGACCACCTCTCCAAGCACATCAAGACCCACCAGAACAAGAAGGGAGGCACGGCCAACAACGTGGCCATGAACGTCTCCGCCGTCCCCATGGACACGGGGGCCTCCGGCGAGGGCAACGGCGGGCCCACGCCCTCGGCCCTCATCGCCACCAACATGGTGGCCATGGAAGCCATCTGCCCCGAGGGCATCGTTATTTTCATCTTTTTCCAGAAATCATCATATAAAAAATAACCTTATACTAATCGCTGCACTTATCAATCTATGACAAGAAAAGAGAAAGTGAAAAAAACAACTTAAGAACTGCCACAACATGTTAGAGTTGGCAATTTCAGAGTGATAAGTATAATGCTGGTCTCAGACTCCTGGAAGGATTAGATTTAGCAGTAAAACAAGAAGTACAGTTAACAGTTGGTGTTGGGTCTGGTGTTAGGATTAGAAAGCACTGCTAATCACAAGAAATGTAAAAGATTAGGAAGTGATGGCTGCCAGTAAGGTTTTTAAGAGCATTTAAGGCTGAAATTCATTTTGGGATTAAAATTCCACAAGTCCAAAAAAAAAAAGGAGGAAAAAAAAGAAAAAAAAATTCTATATTATTATTATATATATAAAAATATAAAATGTGTTTTTTTGAGAGAGGAGAGATTTTGCTGCGACCATGGCCTTGGTCTCTTTGATGCCTTATCTTGGAACAGGTTGACCCTCTGGGGCAGTTCGGACAGTGCCCGAGCTGTCGTTCAGATGCTATATTACATTTTACATTGTAACCTTTAAACAAAAAACAAAAACCAAGTCTTTTTTGTACACTTTGCTTTTAGGTTGTTCTTTAATTTCTTTTTAATTATTTGGGTGAGGTTTTACTTTTTCCCCTTGTAAAACAGCTGCCCTTTCCCTGCCCTTCACTGGACTGTTGGTCTTTATTTTAAGCGGTCTTCTTTGCGAAGATCCTTTTCCTCCGGCTTTTTTAATCCTCACTCTCGCGGGTGGAGCGTAAACTGTACATGTGGAATCAATTTGTAAAGGATTTTGTGCAGGTTCACTCGAGCTATTTACCAGAGGGTCTGGGACCCCGTGCATTGGGATGATTGGGGTACGGTTGGAGATGGGTTGGGAGGTCCTTCAAGGCCTCAGGCAAACTTATTTTTCTGCCTTCGTTGGTCTTAATAATAATCCTAAATGGGAGATCAGTGCCTCCCGAGCGGGAGATGTTACTTTTCCACCTTAAAGAGATTACTGGCCGCCGCAGGGCCGATCAGAGGTGCAAAAGCAATGCGTGGGGCTGCCCTGGCAGCAGGGCGAAGCAGTAGGCAGGGCCGGCGGCGACTGCTCGTCCGCCGAGGCATGGCTTGGGGCGTCCGGGGCCCGGTTAGCTCGGGGTGTCACCTTGCAGGTTTTCTTCTTCCAACACTACTGTATGTGGCTCTTCCGGCTCTGCTTCTGCCAGGCTTGTACAAAAAAAATAAAGGGGGGGTGTTGGAGATGGGGACGATGGGGGGAAAATTCTACTTCTTTTCGGTGCCCGGCTCTTCCCACCCCACCAAGGGGATGGGAGAGGACTGGGAGCGCTAGACAGCTCCGTCCTCTTCCTTTTTCTCCCCCACCCTCCTCTTCCTGCTCAAGTCGCGAGACAATATCTGCCCTTTGCCCTCCCACCTCCGGCTGTAAACAGGCGAGAGGCTCCCTGCCCGCGGCAGGAAGGAGACGCAGGGAGGCCGGGACGGGGGCGCCGGCGCCCGGGGGCCCGGCCGGCTGCCACCTTTGGGGGATTTCATCGGTGGATCTCGCAGCCAGCGTCTCCAGTGGGCAGAGCGCATGGGGCGGCTTTAATTAGTCTCCGAGATCAGGCGATGGTGCAGCGCGCCTCCGAAATACCCGTTGAAAGCTGCCCCGGTGCTCGACACAGCAGGCGGTGGGCAGGGAGGCACGGATGGGAAGGGGCTCTTGAGCTCTTTCGTTACATCTGTTTTTGTTTCCAAGCAGAAATGGTGGGGTGAGACGAGGCAGAAGCGGGTCTGAGCCGGAGATGAGAGAGCGCCCTGTCGGAAAGGTGTCCACGGGCAAGACGTACGGAAAGGTTAGATCTGAAACCTTGCTGGAAAGCTGTGGCCAGGGCGGCTGGAAAGTAGAGCAGGCACCATTGGTCCTAGAAATACCTGGTGCGCATCTCAGATGTCTGAACTGAGCCTAGTTTGGAGGTGGAAATAGTGTTGCCAGCAGGTCGAGGGAGATGGTCCTGCCCCTATGCTCACCTGGAGCGCTGGCTGCAGTGCTGGGCACCCAGTATAAGAGATACGGAGCTACTGGAGCGAGTCCAGCGAAGGGCTGCTAAGATGATTAAGGAGCATCTCTCATATGAGGAAGGGCTGAAGGAGCTGGGACTGTTCAGCCTGGAGGAGACCGAGGGAGGATCTTCTCAATGCGTTGAAGTATCTGAAGGAAGGGTGTCAAGAAGGGTATCTGGAGGACGGGGCCAGACTCTTTCCAGTAGTGCCCAGTGACAGGGCGAGAGGCGACGGGCACAAACTGAGCGTTCATCTGAACATAAAGAAAAGCTTTTTGACAGCGACGGAGCTCTGGAGCAGGTTGCTCAGAGAGGTGATGGAGTCTCCGTCCTTGGAGACTGCCTGGACAGGGTCCTCGCAACCTGCTCGAGGTGAGCCGGCTGGAGCAGGGGGTCGGACTAGGTGATGTCCCGAGGTCCCTGCCGACCTCAACCGTTCTGCTGAGCTCCCGGTGCTCATTCAGAAAAGAAGGGGGCAGCCGGTGGAGGCCAACGCGGGCGTCTTGGTCTTCCAGGTCCCACCGAGTTTGCAGTGGTTAGATCAGACTCCTTGTATTTGTCTCCTCCGGCCGGGAAGCTCAGCAGGGGTTTGGACGCACGCTCGCGGGGGAAAAGCCAGCACAGCCGCCCTGGGGAGAGTTAGGTGAACTCTGGCCGCCGTCTCACACCTGCACGCGGTGTCTTCCTCCCTCCTGGCAGAAAAACCGAGGGCGATTCTGCTGTATGTTTTTCTCCAAAGTTTTTTTTTTTTTTTTTCTTTTCCTTTTTTTCCTGCCTGAGGATAACCAGGAAACTTCCCGGGCGACGGAGAGCCAACGGTTCCCTCGGTGGCTTTCTCCGCTCCCGGAGACGCGTGCTCCCACTCTATTCGCTCGGCTACCCAGGGGGCTTTGACGTAGCCGGGCCACCGG